GTCCCTTTCGCTTTGCACGGCGACGCAGCTCCCCCCTCCAAGGTGGACAGTCTGCTTGTGATATCCATGAGAGCGATAACGTCACGACGTTCGATTGACGCTTGGCTTGTCTAGTATTCTTTCGGCAGTACGACCGCAAAATCACCATTTAGGTCTTGGTGTCTCTAATTTTTGCTTTCGCAGTCCAGGCAAGCAGCCAATTGTTGCGGGCCTGCATTCCCAAGTCGTGCATCACGCCCAAGCTCATGGAAGATCTTTGGACCAAGCTCTGCGAGTCCCTCCAAGCCATGGCCTCAGGAAGGTGCCCAACGACCTCCAGGCGGTTCAGGCCAGGAGTGATCTACTGCATCACAGGGGACATGGAGTTCTTCTACCAGGAATTCAAGTTCCCCAGGCCGAACCAAGCCAACCCTTGCCTTTGGTGCGCTTACACCCAAGAGGGCGAGAACTGCTGGAACGACTTTCGCCAGGAAGCAGGCTGGAGAAGGACAACACTCAGGCCAAGGCAGCTGGAAGCCAGGCTGGAGCACCCGCTTTTCCAGGGCCAAGGCGTCAATGCTCAGGCTTTGAAGCTTGACGTCCTCCACGTCCTGGACCTCGGTGTGTCCTGCCATGTGGTGGGGAATTTGCTTTGGGAGATCATCGAAGACTCCAAGCCAGGTTCCAGGGACACCAACATGAGTTGCCTGAATGCCGAAATCCAGGAAATCTACCAGGAGCTAGGCATTCCTTCAGTCACCAGGTTGCCGAACCTGAAATGGAAGTCTGACATTGCCAGCAGTGCCAATGAGTACCCTTGCCTCAAGCACCAGAAGGGCAGGCGAATCAGGCATTTCATGCCTGTTGCTGTGGAGCTCGCCAGGAGGTACAGTGTCTACGCTGCATTATATCTATAAATGTGAACACGACCTTATTCTTGTTTAAAGTTCTACAGCAATTTCAGGCTCCCAAGATGATCGCCGAAGCCTGCACCGACTTCGTGTCCTGGAGTCGCTGCGGGACATCTACGACTTGCTGGACAGGCAAGACTTCAAGTGGCCCCAGGACGTCAGGCGAAAATTCGCCGACCAAGTCCAGTGCTTGACCAAGCACTACGGCCATCTTGCCAAGCTGGCTTTTGATGCCCAGCAGTGTCTATATAGCCAAGTTTCCAAGTTTCACATGACGGCACACTTGCCAGAAGTTTCGCAGCACTTGGCCCCCAGGTTTTTTTGGACGTATGGTTCCGAATCCTTTATGGGCTTGATGTCTCACATCGCCAATGCTTGCCTTTCAGGCACTGCAGCTCACAAGGTGCCGGAAACCATCCTGTTCAAGTACAGTACGTTTTGGCATCTGCTTTTAAAGGGCTTGCTAGTGCTGGATGAGCCAAGCTGACCCAAGCAGCCAAGCTGCAAGCGGTCCAGGTCCACGCCAACTGCAAGCGGCCCATGAGCCATAAGCTGCTCAAACGGTCCAGGTCCAGGCCGACTGCAAACGGCCCATGGAAAACAAGTCGCTTGCGCCATCTGCTAAGGGCCGGACGGACCTATACGTACATTCCCAAGTGGTATAATCCGGACGCTTAAAAATGTGTCGCCGTCTATAGCTGCAGTTTATAGGCTCTTCAGATGGCAAAAGTAGGAAGCCAGAAGAAGCCGGCCGCACGGCAGGCCAGATACTTGCCTGTGAGCTTGTCGAGCGTAAGTCTGTTTTTTGAAGTTTTGGCTGTGCCTCGACAGGCCCCGGTCTCGAAGAAGCCAGCTGCCAAGCTCGCAGACAAGGAGGCCGTCGTCAAGGTCAAGGTCGTCAAGAAAAGACCTGCGACTGCCACGACCTCCAGTGGCCAAGCTCCCAAGAGCCAAACCGCCACCTTGGAGACTCCTGCAGAGACGACAGCCAAGAGGCCAGCCGCCACCTTGGAGACTTCTGCAAAGGCGACAGTCAAGAGGCCAGCCGCCACCTTGGAGACTTCGGCAGAGACGACAGTCAAGAGGCAAGACGCCACCTTGGAGACTCCGGCAGAGACGACAGCCAAGAGGCCTGCAGCCGCCACCTGCTTTGCTCTCGAGGCGGGATTCTTTCAGTGCGATATATAGATTTTGTATATATATATATATATATAGATAGATAGATGTGAACCCCTATACCCTCATAACCAGCTTTTAAACCCTTACGCCGAAACAGATCTGCAGGAAGAAGACAACTCGGATGGAGGTCTGGAAGCCGTTTGGGAAGCTTGCCAAGCTGCCGAGACCAGGGCCAAGGGGCCAAACCAGAGCCCGGACAACGTGAGCCTGAGCCAGGAAACGATGGTCTTGGGCATGTATGACCCTCCGATCACTCAGAGTGACTTTGAGCAGGCCATGAAGGAGTGGCCAGAGGAGCCTGACTTTTACCACGACCCCTCACAGGAAGCTGAAGCGGAAGCTCCGCCGGGTCACCTTCTCGTTTGGGATTTTTTGTCACCGATTCAAAAAATGATCATCAAGCAAAACCCGAGAGTCAGGGACGGCTTGCAGCCATGCGGGCTGCCAGTGTCCAATACCAAGTCCAAGCCCAAGTAGCCCGGAGCTGTTTTTTGAAAGGTAAGCTCCAAGCCTCCACGGCCAAGTTTTGAGGAAGAGCTCAAGAGAATCTTCACCCAAGATTCCCTGCCGCAGCTGTGGAAAAGAAGTGTTAGGCTGCAATGCCTGAGTCCAATTCCACGTCCAAGTCCAAGTAGCCAGGAACCGTTTTTGAAAGTTAGGCTCCGAGGCCTTTACAAGGCCAAGTTTCGAAGGAGAGCTTAAAAGAAGCTTCACCCAAGATTCCCTGCCGCTGCTGTGAAAAAGAAGTGTTAGGCTGGAAGCCTTCTGGGAAAGGGTGGGGAAGAGAAAGTGAGAGATAGAGAAAGAGAAAAAAGAAAGAGATAGATATATAGAACTAAAAATACAGGTAGAGATGGAGAGATAGAGAGACAGGGAGATATAAGAGATAGAGAGATAGAGCGACCGAGCGGTAGAGCGGTAGATCGAGCGATAGAGCGGTAGAGCGATAGAGAGATATACAGCGATAGAGAGATAAAGAAGTAAAGATGTAAAGGTAGAGATATACAGGCAGAGATACGGATAAAGGTACAGGTTGAGGTCGCGGTAGAGGTATTATATATAGTGGTGGAGGCAGAGATAGCGCTGAAATCTATTGATGTCAGAAGTGTTTCTCGTTTGATTTGAGATAACATTTCTATTGATTTTATGGAAAATTTCTATTGATGTTATGGAAAATTTCTATTGATTTTATGGAGATTTTCTATTGATTTTGATGTGGAGGTTTCTATTGATTTTTATGTCGCAGTTCTATTGATTTTGAGGATTTAAATTTGTATTGAAAAAGATCGTTTTCTATTGAATTTGATCGACACAATCAAAACGCTGAGAATTTTCAATCCCGCTTGATTTTTTTCAATCGGCGGTCCTCTGGGCTGCTGTTGATTGGACGCCAGAACGACTTCAGGACGACGAAGCATTCAAATCTGCCCAGGTCAAGTGTTCAAATGACTCATTATGGGTGTGATTACTATTATTGCAAGCCTTTGGCCTTTTTCCGCGGCGTTGTTGTTGCTGTTCTGAGATGTTGATGTTCACGCCGTTTTTCCCGGAGGCCCGCGCTGGGGGCTGCTGCCCATTCTGGAGAAGACAAGGCCGGAACAGCTCGGGGATCGCCATGCTGAGGGCTGTAGACTAAAAGAGGTCGGAGACGCGAGGGAAATGACCCAGAGTAGGATGAGTGTACGTCCGTCAGTGGAGAACTGTCCCGGCACACGGCCCCACAGACAGGAGCGCCGGGCACGCGCGTCTGTGGAGCCTTGGGGCTGGGAACGTCTCCACAGACAGACGTTCGCGGAAGAGTCCTGGCCCTCATAACACAAGTCTGTCTCTGGAGCATTGTTGTGGCCTACCTCCCTACAGACAGCAGTGCAGCGCACGCCCGTCTGTGGAGCAATCCCTGAGCTGACCTCCCCACAGACAGCCGTGAGAGGAACAAGACTTTTCCTTCAGTTCCCTACCCCTCCGACAGCAGCGCACGGCACGCCCGTCGGAGTCCCTACCCCTCCGACAGCAGCGCACGGCACGCCCGTCGGAGTCCCAATCCGTCCGACAACAGCGCACGGCACGCCCGTCGGAGTCCCAATCCGTCCGACAGCAGCGCACGGCACGCCCGTCGGAGTCCCTACCCGTTCGCCCGACACACCCGTGGGTGGAGCCCTCCCCCCGCAGATCGCTCCAGAGACACGCCTGAGAGATAAACCCTATAACAATAACCCCCGAATCCCACGACTGCTTCCCGTTCGGTGCAGGTGGGTGGACAGCAGGAGGCGCTCGCCGACTTGCAGAGAATGACAGTCCGGAGTCTTGGTCATTCTTGGTCTTCGTTGAAAGGACTAATCTCACAGGATGCCTTTCCAGTTGCTCTTGTTACCGAGGAGATGAAAGCTTGGACTCCTTATCGGCTTCAGTGGTTATTCACAGCATGGCCAGAGACCGAGAGACCAGCACGCTTTCAGGGTGGTTGACGAATCGCCTGTATCTTTGGTCTTCGCCTGCAAAGGCGAGCTGGCGGGTTTTTGGTCCGCCTGGAAGGGCGTGCGTAGGGGCTTTGGGGGCTCGCCTGGATGGGCTTGCCCAGCGGTGTTCTCCGGTCTATGACGCAGTTCAGGGCTTGGGTGCGGTGGAGTACAGGTTGAATTTTCCAGCTTCGGTGGTGCAGCATTCAGATCTAGATCAGAAGCTTCGCGATCGGCGAGCCCTTTGCATTCCTGCAGCCTGAACGATTGTAGCTTCTGGGGTTCTGGGATCCTAGATTGGGGTCAGGGTTCAGGGTGATGGGTCCCAGCTTGTCATGACGGTTCGAGGTCTATACTCCACCGGGGGGATCACTGTGACATTATGCAGGATACCAAAGAGGAAGGTTCCGACAGCTAGCACTTGGAGCAACGTTCAGGTTCGAGGCCAGAGGCTCTGCGTGTAGTTGCGTGCGACATGGCGGACGCTAAGAGCAAGAGCAGGCCCGGCAGGCGCTCCAAGTGCTCACCAAAGGACCAGGAGGAACAGCAGGCTCAGAGCAGCCCGCAAGCGGACGCAAGGACAACGCCCTGGAGCACTACCTCGGAGAAGATCAAAGATCTGGTGGCCAAGGGGGAGTGGGTGCCTGCCGGCGCTGTGCCGCAAAAACATGTTGGCATGGAGGAAGTCCTGGACGGCGCAAGCCTGGGCGCGGCATTTTCCGGTGCTGAGGATACTCAGACGCTTGGCTTCATATGTTTTCTTTCGGGTTGATTGAATACTTGGCCGCCCGCTCGTGTCGAGGACGCTGCGGTTCATGGGCGTTCTGGGCGACATCGACTTCTCCAAGCCCGGCCCGGCTGGCACAACGGTAACGTGCACAGACGTGGTCTCCTCGCTGGAGTACTTCTACGCAGCAGAGAAGCCACCCGAGGAGCTCCCAACAATCACAGTACTTTACAGTTCTGACACAAAGAGGCCCGGAGTGAGTAGTGGTCGGGAAAGAGTAGTACTTGCTGGACGTTTGCATCCCTCAGGGGCGAGTTCCTGCCAATCACGAGATTGGCCCAACTGCATGCTTTCGTGTCGGCCTGGCACGATGCGAAGTCCCCGGAGCTGAGGGCGAAGTATGCAATGCGTGCATCGGAATCTTCTCCGAATGTGTCATAGGGACACGTGGTGCAAGGGCCTGGGATTTCCGGTGCAGAGTTCATGCTTCATGCAGCCAAGGCAGTCCCACTTGCCCTTGTGAAAGGGTCCAGCGACTCGGCAGAGTGCTTCTGGAGAATACACCAGCACGGGGAAACCGTGCAACAGGTGGCTCGGGAGGCCAGTGACCACTGAAGAGCTCTTTGTCTGTGTCTGCTGAATCTGCAAAGATGGACAGGAGGGAAACCAGTGCTGCATTCGACTATGTGATCGCTTGAAGCAGCTGCTGCCCCAATACCTGGAAGACTAAGAAGCTTTATGCTACTCAGTCGTGACGAGTTGAGACGTCCAGGTTGCAGCAGCTCCACCGCTCCCTGGGCAAACCCTCGACTGCGAAGGACCTCTACGCTGAGTTCGAGGCTCCTGGGAGTATTAAAGGATTTTCTGCTGACACTGTTGCTCACTCGCTTTGCTGTGAGGCACGCGTGAAGTCCCATGAGCTGTCGTTTGCCAGCGAGGATTCGGCGGCGATGGCCTCAGAGTGCGGGTCGCAGCAAACTTGTGCAAGTACAGCTGTGCTGTGCCCCGGCTTAGATTCGATCGTCGGATCAAATCGCGAAGCTGCTGCGATTGAGAGATCGGTCGTGCGAAGCCAATGTGTGGGACCTCCTACGTGAGCTCCAACACGACGCCACACTCGGAGCCACGTGGGTGAGCCGGTGGTCAGTCTGCACGGCCTTGCTTGGCGCAGCCAATGACTCGCAGGAGTTTTCTTGGCTCATCCGCCAATTCGCCCGCGGTTTTTCGAGCCCCTCCCTCTTCAGGTACGGCACGAAGGTTGCTACTTGGACACGAGCCAGCCTCCAAGAGAATGTCAAGGCGGTTCTGGGAACAAGGCGCGTGATGGAGGCCGTGATCGACCAGTGCAGCCCCCGTCGGGATGACTCGTCCACGGTTGAGGCAGCCGAGTGGAAGAAGGAGCTGTCCTACTTCGTGGATGCAGGGAACCTGCCCTTGCTCGAGAGGGCTCAGGTGCCTGGCCACATGCTCCTTGGAAAGACCGATGCGGAAGTCGGTGTTCTAAGGCTGCTGGTGGACTTTGCGAAGCTGGAATGTGGAGAGTACATCGATACTGTTTTTGTCGGAACCGTTCATCGTAATTTATGAAACAAAATATAGCAATTTTCACTGGTTACTTCGAAGCCTAGGAACTTGGACCACATGAAAACCATGTATGTTGTGACGGGCGCAACCGATGTTGTGTCGGCCCAGCTGAGCGACCCGCGGACGCAAGGCTTGCTAAGCGAGGTGATCAAAAAGCTTCTAGTCCTCATTTGGGGGGGCATGGACTTGTTCAAAGCCCAAACCTTTGATCCCTAGCAATTTAATACATCCCTAAAGCCTGGGTGGTGTCTTCCCAGATCGCAAAGGTACGTGGATGAGCATGTCAAGGTCCTTACTACAACACCGGAGCCTGCGACGGCCGTTGAGACCAGCGTTGAGCCTGAAAAGGACACTGCCACTACGGCACCTGCTTGGAACGACGGCGATGTCGCTGGTGATGCGCCGGGAGTTGCTGCTGGTTCAGAGGAACCTGCAACGCACAGTAGTAAAGTGACGAAGAAAGCCATGGAGGAGTGCGACAGATACATGCACTTCTTTGTGGCAGACATCCAGGATGCGAATGCTGTGTCCGGAGTGTTGAAGCCGCCTCACGGATGCAGATGAATCCTTTGCGTCTTGTTACGGTGACTGTGGCTCTGGTCTATGTCTCGCTCCGGCTGCTGTTGCTTTTGCCCTGCTGTGGCTCCTGGCTGGACTATTTCATTAGTCCAGCTCTTGCTGTTTCTTCAGCTTTCACTCCTGCTCATGAAAGTGCCTTTGCTTTTGCCGAGACCAGTGCCGCTACTCTTCTCGATTGTCTTGTTGCTGCTCTTGGATTGGACATGTCCGGACGCCCCCCTGAACGTTAAAGGGCAGAAGTAGTTCAGGCATAATGCATGGCAAC